CGAGTTTTCATGTCTTGATACATTTTTAATATACTTTTATTCCTCTACAATCTGCTATTATACTAAAAAAAAAAACTTAATTTTAAAATTATAAAATATTAATGATTCAAAATAATTCTACTTATTTTTTCTAACTTATTTTTTTTAAAGCTTTAGTTTTTGAGTTGTGTCATTGTTGTAACAAATGAATATGATTATTTTATTGATAATTTATTTGTAGAGTGCGATCAAGCAAATTCCGAGCACTACCAGGCGGTCGGATACAACAACTGTATTCGGAAGGAGTACATATGCGACAAGATTTACAATTGTCCTTTTAGTATATGCTCGGATGAGGTAAATTGCGTGGTCAATGATCGATATCCCAAGGACAATACTGCCACAAAAGTCACTGTAGGAGCAGTCACCACCATGATCCTCTGCTTCATCATCTTCATTTTGTGTCTATGGGTCTGTAAGAAATCACAAAAGTTGTGCTGGTCGTCGGATTGCGCCGGTCCGAACGTGTGCTCACGGCCGGTTTCCTTGCCGGACGCAGACGGAGGTCAGGGATCTAATCGCGCAGTGCCAACGGCCCCCATGTTGGAAGTCGCGATGTCCTCGCCTGTCGTGGACAAAGATTTACCACCCAGTTATGACTCGTTGTTTCCCGAACAAAGTAATCCTGCCAGATCGTAAGTTATTGAATCCAAGTATGAACTGACAATATGAGAGCGCATATCGCATTAAACATATCGTCTAATGTTTTAATTAGACGCTGCGTTGTCGCGCATCTAATGACATAACTAGATCGATTTTTCTCTATGTACATTCGTACACTATTTTCCAAAATATGAGCTGGATTTTACTACGAAAGAAAACGCTCTGATAAATTAACAGACGTTTCATGTTTCAGTTTTGATTCTGTGTTGATTTCATGGAAATGTGAATTGAATGTAGTGTAGCTTCAGGATGCTAATCAAATTATAGATAAGTCAGTGACTAAGATGCAAAGCTACACAACACCAACTATCCTTTGTTCTTTGATAATGGATGAAGATGGGAGTCTTAATTAATCAATGAATTGTTACATGCATATATTTAAATCATTTTAACCAAAGTAATTACATTTGGAGCACTGCTGCTCACCGTCCACATCCAATTGCGCCACTGCATGCAGTACATTTATACGCATTTACATGCAGTTATATTAACATCACACAATCATTGTTTCTTATTGTATATCAGTGAGATTATACGAAATGGTTAGTAGATAGGTCAATTAAATTTATTTTTTCTTCTATAGTTTTAAAGTTTCTGTTTCTTATTTTGCAGTCTTATTGAATTATGACGTCACAAATGGAAAATAGTTCATATTTTTGTTGCATATAGGCTGAGATAAATTAGATTTTTCATACGCCTTTATTAGTGTTCAATAACGTATTGTAAGAAAAAAATTCATATAACAACAAATTCCCACTTCTGACATAACTTATGATTGTAGTAGGAAAATGGGAATCTTGAATTGTATATTTCTACGTTTTGTATTATTTTTTAATAAATATTGAAGAAATATCACATGAATTTTGTTCATTGAAAACTACGCAACGAAGAAATAGGCCTCACAATAACTTCTTACTAGTTGATGGAATATTACAAACTTTCTGTATCAAAATAACGGTATATTTTTTAACTATGTTAATTAACTATGTTAATTAAATTTAAAGTTACACTTCTCATCAACTTCACATTCGTATTAGTTTCTTGTATTAAGTTATGATCTTGTATTAAGTACGATATTTGATATAGCAATAATACATATCTCAAAAAAGAAAAAATTTGATGGGATCTGTGTTGTGTTCATAGACATTCGCGAAATGAATTGTATGTGAACTTACTGTATTGTAGCATATTTTAGTAATGCTACGTCTTACTTGAATATATACATATCTATATACATATGTATATATATATAAATATAAATAATTTTTGTACGTATATAAACATACAAATTTTATAGAATGTATACAAATCTTAGATATGTGCGTATATATTTTTGGAGATTAAATGTTACGTAAGTCTATAAAATGTATGTAATAAAATTGTGTAAATATTCATTTTGTGATAATAAAGATCTATGTATATACATACATATAATCAAACGTTCTGAATTATTTTGTGTCTTCGGATTCTTTAGATGTGTGCTCCAATAACCACAGACAATCGTTGATGATGTGATCTATTTCAGCTGATCCAGTTGATAACTGATGATTGTCATCGTACACGAGCATCCTGTGATGTCAAATCAATTAATAACAATGCAAGGTTTTTATACCTTCTGCATTTCTGCATTTTTGCATGCAAATATAAATGTCAACTTACTTAGTTTTCACCTTGTTAGATTTGAGACGATTATACCACATCGTTCCTTGAGAGGATGGTACTCGCAAATCTTTCGTTCCAATGCAGACCAAGGTCGGTGCTTTGACTTTATCGACATACATGATGGGCGAGCATTGTTTCATTTTCACGAACATGTCAATATTATTGGGCCATGGACCGGTAACAATGTTGCAAAGAAGACCTGCCTCCACAACGCACCTGTAATAAAAAATAAAATCACATTAGTGTGAATAAAAAAAACTTGATGCGAATGCTAACATGTTTGCCAGGCAAACCATGTAAACCATTGTTCCAAATAATTCACATATATATAAACAAAAAGAAGACTATGTATTTCAGTCAAGCTTAGACTATTCGCGACTATTGATACATCTGAAATAATTAAGCTTACTTATGAAGATACGCTATTATCTCTTCCTTAGTCAGAGCATTGCGACTGAAATACAAATATGGGATATTGAATAATTAGGACGTGAGGAATATCGTTATTAGGTATTAAGTATTTCTTTACCAGTCTGGGATGTCGGATACACCAAACATGATGGAGATATCAATTACCGGATTTTTTGCAATTACTGCTTTGAATAGATCCTAAAATAAAAATAGTTTTTAAGTGGATATTCTAATTAATATATTATTGTATAAATATATATTGTTTGATACACTTACAGGAGCTTGTCCACTCAAATGTGCTACTAAGAATCCACCATGAGATCCACCACAAAGACATATGCGTTTAGAATCAAGCCAGGAATATCTTTTGATAGCTTCCTTCGTAGCAGTTATGCAGTCTTTTACATCAACGTTTCCAACTTTTCCTGTAAGATATTCCACCGTCGCGCTGCCCATTCCCGTAGAACCACGATAATTTACTTGCACTATCGCAAAACCTGAATTATGGAATTAGTATAGTAAAAGCTTTTAAATATTATGTAAAGAGAAAGATATGATTTATTTTTTACCTGCTAATGCCAATAAAGAACATTCTAAAGAAAATACGTTAACAAAATTGCTATGAGGTCCTCCATGTGGTATAACGACAAAAGGTATCGATTGATCTTTACCACTTTTTGGACCGAAATAGATATAGTTGAATTGCTCTGAAAAGTGGAGAAGCAACATTCAATTAGCTATACCATAAATGTAGATGACTTGGGACAGTGTAGGTAACTTGGGACAGTATATTTTTGTTAAATTTAATCATGGTATCCATCCATGAGTTAAATTTTAAACTTCCTTTAGAGACTCATACATGAATTCCATGATTGAATTTAACAAAAATAATGCTGTCCCAAGTTACCTATATTTGCGGTACCAAGAGAAATTGTGCAAACGATGACACGATCCACTTACTTATGCTGTCGTCGTTATCATAACTGTATTCATTTTGTTCGTATATAATTTCTTCGAAACCATGAATTTTCATTGGAGTTGTAATCGCAATTCTGGAGATATCGCCACTACTTGCCACTTTACTCTTAAAACGGCCTACCATAAGACTAGAAGGTTGCGTTAAAGAAGTATTCAAAAACGCAATCACATCCCCCTTTACATCCAATATACTAAGACTACTTTTATCATTTTTTATCTCAATAACATTTTTCGTCTCTGTAAAGACAATTCATTATTCTTTTAAGTGGCAAGAAAGTATTAACGCATTAAATCAGTTTAATCAACAAACTGTAGTATTTTACTTATATTCACGATATACGAGACAAGATTATTCCTTTGAGCTGTACTGAAAAATAAGTATTGAGAATCGTCACTCCAACAACGACGAGATAAACGACCATATATCCCGTAAAACTGTTTGTTAGAATTGATTGTTTTACTCATTCGCACTGCTTCCACGATCTCGATATTCTATAGATGTGTAAAACAAAATAATTTAAAACTCAAAATACTAAACATATTTTCCTTAATATAATTTTTCGTTTATAATTAATCTAATTTTTAATACATTACATTATCTTCTTCCACTCTCAAATCTCGCAACATAAGTTTTTGCGCATTATGATGTGGGACAGCACCTGCTTCTCTCTGCAACCACACGAGATAATTTCCATCAGGACTGATTCTAGGACTATGCACAGCACATCCTTCATCGGACAATTTCCCTATTACACAATAAGTTATTAATTTCTTTTCTGTTACTTCATATCTGCTATATTAATTATTTAAATGTTGCTTACGATATTCTCCGTTTTTCAATAAAAATACCCAAGAATATCTATTGGTGCACGCAATAAGGCCTAAGTGTAGTGGCTCATGCTTCCAAGCAACACCGATTATATCCTGATTTTTCGTCCAGATCACTTGACCGGGAGAAAGTTCATCTGGTATTCCAGATAAAATCGTAATGATATCCAACGTCGTATCAAGGATAGCAACAACAGATTGATGTTTACCTACTAATTGCTCTCCCCAGTGTGGTTTGTATATATATTCGTTACCCTGACATCAAGAAAATTAAATAAGACAAGATATATACATACACAAATAGAACTCTATAATTATTTAAAGAAATAAGGAATAAATCCTACCACTGTTACTTCATCATCCTCTTTCTTCTCTTTATCTTTTTTATCCAATGATTTTTGTTTATAAAATGGTTCTGACTTAGGAAGCTTCTTTTCAGCTATATACAGAACCTTGGTATTATCCGGAGACCATTCAAACGAACGAAATTCAGCTACAAAAAAGCATATAGTCAATGTACATTAAAAAAATTACAAGTGTGAGATAAAAGGTGAAAGCTTATACCATCTGTGTAAACATCACCATGGACATCTAAAGCAGACAGATCATAATTCTTCACAAAATGTTGTTTATCCCAAATTTCCAGAAACTGCTTTGTAGAATTATCAATTGTGGCTTGTCGCAATACAGCTCTACGTTCTTCATTCTTCGTCAAAGTTGACATTAACCTGTCCGAAACAAATACATTTAAATACCGGCAATATTCATATTAAATATGCAGGAACAGAGACTTTTCTAGGTGTGGAGTACTTTATCCAAATTAGGGAAAGTAGGAAGGGGAGGAATTTCAAAATAACACAAATATTTTACCTCTTTTGTTATATGTTATGTGTAAAATATATATATATATATATATCCTAAACAAATACTGTTTTTGTCAGATCACTCAAAATTTTTTAAAATTTGTCAAAAATTAACATATTTTTTTTTAAATATCCCGAATTCTGGATGTGGAATTTAATACCCACAAGACTTCTGGGTATGGAAAGCTCCATATCTTCCATAAGGATATCCTTCTATGTAAATATTCATTGTCTATACTATAAAAAAATATATTACATACTCTGTAGTAATATCAATTGGAAATCCGATAGAAATTGGTGTCAAATCTGAATTCAAATCATAATTTTGTAAGAAGCGTTGATCTGTCTTTCTTTCTAGATTCCTCTGAGTCCATGAGCCTTGTATGGATAATCTACCACTTGGAGTACCCAGAATCTGTGCACTGTTTAAGGATGGATATGCAGCTAATGATTTGTACAGATTTGTCAATTCCTTTACCTGTAAAAATATTCTCTATGCCCATCATTTCGCACAATTGTTCGATGAAAAAAATTATTGCAAAAAAATATTGATAATCACTGCATACCTGTCCCAATGCCATGATTTTCTTTCGTTAATTCCAATCGCCTCACTGTTTTTTTTAGTATAAATGTAATCACAGTACAAATGTAATCACAGTACAAACGCCAAATACACGTTAGCAATTCCAAATTCTATATTTATACTTGTGCTCCGATAAGCATGGATAACGATCTTAGATAAACTGTAATCATAGGGGCATACAAACACGAGACATACAATACTATATTTACCGTTTTATTTTTTCGTAATTTATAATAAAATACTATGCAAAAAGAATCAAGAATAATAAAATTGCATTACAATGTATATTAGATATTGATTATAAAAAGCAATGGAATACTGAATCATTACTGAATATGTACATTTATTGTGTCTATAGCATTTCGTCCAAAATGAGGTTATAGGTACGAATGGAATTCGGCTCGACACGATCATGGTGGAAGAAAGCATGAACACATATTCAAATTCAATCACATTTGATCACATTAACATTACTCAATTATCGGTGTCATGTGTGTGTATGATATGTATATATATATGTATACATGTATAATACATATGTATGTACCACATAAGATTATTCATTTATTAAGCCCATTTTAAAGCCTCATTTTAAATGATTTATAATTCGCGCAAATTTGAAACAGAATTATATTTATAATTTTGCGTATTGATTGATATCGATCGTGTACAACATAGAAAACATTTGAAGAAATAAAATTTATACATATACAAAATATACAGGGTGATCCACTTAAGTCTACTATTTAAAATATCTCGCTTATTTTTGACGATATAAAAAAATGTTTCAAATGAAAGTGGAACGATTTCGAGGAGGACATATTATTTCATGTTGTTTTTTTTTTTAAATGGAGGCGTCAAAAAGATATGAAGGTTACCTTCACTTTTTTAAATGAAATTGTATGATTTTTTTTTACATAATATGATGCCTCTAATTATTCTGCATATAAAAATATTAATTGAT